GGTCCTGCTGAAAAGTTGAAGAGATTTGTGTATCCAGCTCCTATTTACATAACCACTGGGAGTAGAAATCACCTCGCCCAGTTTTAAATATCTCACTATTGGACATCTGAGTCTGAACTAGTTGCCCCTGGGTCCCTTTGTAGTCAATAAAGAGGAATAGTCATCTCCAGAGGGCCATTCATCTCAAGATAGGCGTCTAAGATAGGTCAGATGAATGGCCTCTGGAGGTGCCTATTTCTCCTTGCTGTCTACCAAGACAGCCTGGGGCAGTTATCTCAGGCTTAGACGCCCAAGCTACGACTGAGTTAGTGTCAATCTCCATGCATATTTGCAGCATGCTCCACTGCCATAAAATACTTGGCTGAGGTGCTCCCAAAAAAACCCTGTTGATCTGCGGAGGGATGTGCAAGAGAACACAGGGTAGGACTTGGAGGAAGCTGTGTCTGGCCTTGTAGGAGAAGGGAAAAAGAAAGGTAGAACTCTGTTAGCTGCGTGTGCTTGTGCAGGGAGGAAAAAGTGAGAGATGGGAAGCTTGGAAGAGGAGGAAAGAATGTGCTGGAGAACTTGGGCCTGGTGGTAGCGATGCGGAGTGAAACTCCGTTCCAGCTGGTGCATCTCACGTTCTGAGTTTTGGGGTGTATGATAGTGACTCAGAGCCATCATCACTGGGACCTAGGGATTTCCCTCAAGGTCTTTGAATCTTGTCTCATCAACGTGCTGCATTTGAACGTGAGCGAAACTCTTGTATCCGAGAAACCAGAAGATTACCTTTTCCTTCCTGTTCTATTTTAGCGATGGGGAACTTTATTTCCTCCTTCTCTCCTCCTTGCCTTTCTTCCCTTTAGCTACTGCCTTTAGATTGCATCAACCCCCGTGGGTTTCAAAGGTAGAAACTGCAGGCCTTGAAGATCCTCACACAGTCGTGCTCAGGTGTGTGGATACTGATTGTGATCATCTATTAACACTATCAGCATTCCCATCGTTATATGTGCAGTTGTTGGCTCTTGGGGCGTAGAGCTGGAACGCAATGAATGAACAAATTCCTTGGGCGGGAGCAGCTGGAGAGAGGTGGTCAGGGAGCAGATGGTTACAGCGAAAGGCGCAGAAGCGCGTGGCAAGTTGGAGGTTGTAGTAGAGTAGGGAATTACATGGAAGAAGATAAAGACCTGAGACTGGGAAGGGAAAAAGCTTTGAGAAGCAGGTCAGGAAGCAGCAAGGGCAGGCTCTAGCACAGCAGAAATGCAGACAGGCTGGGGGAGAAGGTACAGAGCTGGATCTAGGTTGAGTTGCAGACTGTGAGAAGATAGAGGAGATTTCAGAGCAGGGCAGGGGCAACAGCTTGTTCTGCTGTGAAATAGTGCTCTGGTATTGTTTGGTAGCAAAAACCTACAGCTCAGCCTAACCAGAGCAACAAAGGCAGCTCAGTTTCCACAGTCAATGCTGCTAACATGTTGCAGATTAAATCTCCAGAGTGTTTCTAGATAGCGGAGAACAGGGTGCCATGAAATTATTATCGTTGACTCTCAAATATTTTGCCATCTATGAATAATTGTACCAAGCACGCTCCCCGTGAGGATCTCAAAGAACCATGCTGATTCACCTGGGAATATTGCATGTACGGTGCAAGCTGAGAAGTGTGCTACATTAGGGTAGAGGCTTGTTCGGTTGAAGAAAGCAAGTCAATGGGAGAGTTGGATTTGCAGTCCTGCCTGCACAGCCTCTCTTAACCGCTTTCCAACTTTTTGCAGGAGAGACATGAACTACCGAAAAACATGATGTGTTGAAGCTTGATCAGATCACAGGGCACAGGCTAGGCTTTATGGGGAACGTTATACTGGAAAAAACAGGAGGAGGAGGTGGCCCTGGGGGCTTGTGCCGATGGGATGTGAACAATTTAAGACTATTTATCACAAACTCAGTTGGACTGGAAGAGAATGACTTAGGGGATGGATTGCAAGGGGTTTCTTGGGGTTGCCTTTGCAACTAAAGAGGCTTCGTGGAATCCCTTAAAGCATTCATATCTGTGGAGCGTACAACCTTTCCTCTGTGATGTTCTTGATGAATTTGGCAGGTGTGATGGTTTATCATCAAAGGGGAATGAGTGAGGGCCTGTGTGGTACCTTCAGGCTGAAACCTGTCTGATTTTTTTTTCCCCCTGTGCCTGCCAATCTCTTTTGGAATCAAGGAGACGCCTCTTGAGCACAACCCCACGGCACCCTCTGTTCCTTTAGATATCCCATAATTACTCAGTGCCACATGGGTTCCTGAAGATCCCTGGTTAACAGCCTTGGCCACCTGTTTGCTAGCCTCTCCCACAGTTAGTTCTTACTTTACATACAGTGCCTTAGCCCTGGATTTCCCTGGAGATTTGTAACATCCTCCAGCTCACCTCTGCTGGAATCTCCCTTGCAGTCAGTGAGCTTTCCCCCACCCTTGCTGTTTGGCCAGGTAGCTCCCAGACAGAAGCACTTCTGTCTTTCCTCAGCAAAGGCTGATACCACCAAATGTTGCAAAAGCTGCCTTCGTGCTGCCATTGCTGCAGTTGCGTTGAGCCCGCCTTCCTCCTCCTCTCTTTGCTCTTACAGTAAACTGAGCTGGGCTAGCAGTGTGACTTTGGTTATGTGTGTTCTAAGTTTTGGAAAGTTTACATCAATGCTGACTGTCATTAATACTGAGATATTTTTCCGTTTGTTTCATTGTAGGAAGTGAACAGAATGGGCTGGACTTTAACAGGCAGGTAAGATGCTCCCTGGGTTGCCAGGTATTCTCCTGCTTTCTTGAATTACTGTTTTTTAATTGCTCATCTTGCTGAGTCCCAGGTACCTACTGCTAAGAGATAAAAACTGTTAGGTCAGAAGGCTACCATTAAACAGACCACATAAGTTCTTCCCCATTCTCCTTGTGGGATAGAATGACAGATTAAACTTCTGGTTTCCAGGCCTTCCTATTTCATAGAAGTTTAGTTAATTACAGAGTTTCTTTAAATCACCATTTGCTTGAGGCTTTTTCTGGCTTTTTAATTTTTTTCCGTTGTCATTTAGAAACAAAAGGGACCTTATTTACACTGGCAAATGTGCAAATCCCGCCCCAAAGCCCCATGCATTTCTACTGCTTGTGACACTGGCACTGAAAGCACTGTGGTATGCAAGTCTAAAAGCACGGGGCTGACTCACAGGAATATCAGCAAGGACTGAAGATGAGGTGGTTTGAGGTCTTGGAGTGTGTAGGTCAAGACCAGGCCTGCCTACAACTGCAGATTCCTCTTTGCAAGACAGTGGTGAAAGGGACAGCAGATAAAAGCAAGTGCTTCTTGCAGGGCAAGCACGCCTTAATTGCGAATGAACATGTGAGGGACCGTTGTGTTTGCTGTTATCCTCCTGCTTCATGCAGCTAAAAGCAACCCCTGTCTCACTGAGTGCCTGGAGATTTTCATATGTGGCTCTAAGAAATCCCTGAATCTCACATCAGAATTGCAAGGGCAGGAAGATTACAGCCCTCTGGAGAGTACAGATCTTGACTCTGTGCAGACACGTGAGAAAATGCTCTCTGAGTCCAGAGCTAAGGACTCCCGTGGCCATCAGTGGAGCTGGACTCAGACCTTGTAAAGAAAAAGAGGAGGTCTAGAGAGCTAACCCACTGATCTGCTGCAGGACTCCAGGGTTGACCAGGGAGCTGGAGCGAGGAAAGCAAAAGGGGCTGTAACTCCACGGGCAGTCACTAGCATTTGAAGCAGATGTTGGCACTCTTAACAGTACAGCAACCTCCCTCCTTCCAACTGTGCATTCCCTGAGCTCAAGGGTTGTGATCCTCTGCAAAGGCTTCCTCCTAGCAGCAGGTGGGCAGCTGAAGCTTCCTGATGTGACTTTTCTGTCCTTCAAGCTTGCCTTGGTGGCTCTTGTCTGACAGATGTCAGCGAGCTGCTGTTTGTTTGTTTGGTTTGGCTGCTCTGGTTTTGGGTGGGTCGTAACTTCCTATCAAAGGTGTCTTAACATGTTCAGCCATCTTCCAGGTTTTTGGAATACCCAGCTGAAAACAAAAAGTCTTGTGTCTCCAGCTCTGTGGATTGCAGAGCCCAAAGCACAGGCTTTCTACATGCCAAGAGAAGAATCCAATCTGCTTATAACTAGTGATAAAAGAAAATTCCCTCAAGATAGAAATAAGCTATGAAAGTACAAGATCGTTACATGTTGCAAACTTTTCCTATGGCAACACCACAAAGATGTTAGAACTGGAAGCTGGGCTGAGGTTAATCAAGGAAACGTTATTGACTGTGGTGAAGCAGTGCTGATTTACAGCCACTGCTGATTTGACCCATTATCTTTAAGGTCCTAGTCCGCTGCATGCCACTGAATGAGCAGATGCTGGTAAAGTTGTAGGGGCCGACAGGCTCGCAGTCAGTAGGATTTGGGCCAGAGTCGTCTTCATAGAAACATTCCCCTCCCAAAAAGAGATTGTGGTTTTATGACAGTCTTTTGTAGCATTCGCTTCCCACTTTTGTTTTTCTCCTTCCACCAAAGGGGTACCGCAAAATCCCTTTCATTTGTGCCAGCACATGTTTGTGTAACTGAGTAGCAAACCTGACTGGGGACTTAAAAAGTTTAAAAGGTTTAAAAAGCAAAAGCCTGTGAACAAGATAATGTTAATGTTGGTTTGGTTTTTTTTTAATCTGGTGTGATTCCCCAGAACGTAGGTAGTGTCTGCAGAAGGGGGTTTGCAGTGGTGTCAGGGATGAGGTTGTGGGCAGTCCATGTGAGTGGACATCAGCGCCTGCAAACTGCTCTTTGTCTCCCTCTCTTGGCCCTCTCAAGGCCTGGTGTAGACCTGAGCCATTATTGTTATTGTTGTTATTTTAAATGAGCGTGAGCCCAAATGCACATGGGTTATACATTCACATTTCGGGTTGACCTCAGCTATTGGTGAATTCATCTTCAATTCAGCAAATAGATTTCAAATGACGAGAAAAAGGAAGAAGGGAGATATGGAAATATCAAAGTGTTTTAATGTAAAATCAGGTGCTGAGCTCTTTCATTAGGGGTGGAGGTTGGTGGGTTTTTTAATTTTGGTTTGGGGTTTGAGGTTGGTTTTGGGTGGCTTTTTTTTTTTTTTTTTTTTTTTTGTTACCTTGTTGGGGTGTTTGGGTTGGTTTTGGGGGGCTTTTTTTTTTTTTTTTTTTTTTTTTGTTACCTTGCAATTCAAGTTTTCAAACTGAAGCCAGAGAAGTATGGTTTGAAACCCAACTCCAAACTGAATGCAAGAGCTACTGAGCTCTCTTTGACTTTATTTGGAGTGCTGGGCGCTAATCACTTTGAAGATCATAAATCTCACATCATTTAAGCCTCTCCCCCAGTCTTTGTAGATGGCCTACATTTCAGGTCTGTTTCCCTCCCATGTTATGCTCCAGGCGGGAAGAGAAGGGTGGAGTGACCTGGTTAGACCCCTTACTTGCCTACCGATTCCCTGCTGTGGCTGCTCTCACCCTGAAAATGGGGAGGAGGGAAACTCTTGTGGAGTTTGAGGTTTTCTTGCAGTTTGTGGGTCAGCCCTGCGCTTTATGAGAAAGCTGCCTTCTGATCCCTCAACCTATTTGGCAAACATTTCTTCCCCCCTCCCCTCTTCAAACTCTCCTCCCACCTGGATGCAACAGTAATTTGTATGTGAATGAGAGGGGAAAGGGTGTGTATGGAAAAAGAAGCACCTTCTGCCTTGCCTATCTGGTTTGGCTTTTTATTTAGTGAGTCTAATGCTGGTTGTTTCCTGTTTATATCAAGGCAAATGCACAGAGATGGTAATAAACTTTCACCTTCAGTGCTGGCAACCTGGATAAGGACATCTGCTTCTTGATGGTTTGGGATCGTGTCCAGAGCGTGTCAGGGACAGAACTGAGTAACTCTGCAAATGTGGCTTCAGAGTCTTGCCACGAAAGGGCATTGAGTTGGACCAGCAAAAGATCTGACTGAAAGTGTGGAAATCGGAGCTTTTCCTCACTGTAATGTGGTGATCCTCACCGGGTGATGTTGCTGCGGTCTTACCAGGTCTTGTTTGGTTTATTTCCCCGCTGGTATACACAGCGCTCAGCCTTTAAGGAAATAGTGCCTTGTTTGTTTTTGTAGATGGCTCTGAAGAGAGCTGTTCTAGAGAGCCAGGTAATTCACGCTGTGTCTGGAGTTAATCCCTGAGATAATATTGCCTTCTGGAATACACACACAGAGCCAGGGCTGAAGGTCTGGGGAGACAACAGGGCTTGTGTGCATGGTGTGAGTGTTGTAGTTGCTGTGCGCTGATATGCAGCTGGAGGAGGAAAATACACAGATGCTGAATCACTGATTTCTTTTCCATCAGGAAAGTGATGTGTAGGACCGTGTCATCTGTTGGTCCTTCCAACAATGCAGTCTCTGAGTGCCAGGGAGGAACGAAGGCTCCGATCTCCTCTCCTTCCAGAGGAGGGAATGAGAGGTCCTCTCCAAACCCTTTCATGGTCTCAAGCACTGAGCTGCCGCTCCAGTGCTGGGAGAGAATATGTCTCTCTTGAAATGAAGCAGAAAGGTTATGTGTTACCAGTGCAGGAAAGGCTTAGCAGGATCTACGTGTGCTCTGTATCCAAATACGTCATGCAGTTTCATTCCAGCAAAAGGCTAACCCTTGTAGACAGGCTGTCATTTGTGCAATGATAATGACAGGTTTGATATTTGTATCAATGAAAAGGTGATCCTGCCATCAGACTTTACAATATTTAAGACAGACAAGCAGGCACTAGTGTGCTCGAGCAGCCCAGGGCTCAACCCAGCTTGAATTTTCCTGTTGGTTCTTTACTTCTCTTACTTTATTTTCTTTGGTTTACACCAATCAGGGGATATAATAAGGATATGTATCTCTTTCCAACAAGCTTCCTAGAAATAGGATCTTGGGATGGATTTACCTGGGAAAAGGATGTAGCTTGGAGATGTATTGCTGGGGCAGGAGAGATCTTCAGAGTACAAAGGGAAGCATCCAGAACAAAATAAGGAAATAAGATATGCAGTTGAAGTGGCCTTGTATTTCATATGCACATTAGCTCAACACTTACATTTGCACATCGGGTCATCCACATTGCCATTGTGACTGTTGCACATGACTGTAAGGGGCATATTTCAAAATCCCTTTCCTCCAGTGGTCAGTCAGCATTAAATAATGGAGCTGCTTAAGATTCCCAGTCAGTAGGACCTGAGTAGACTTTTTTGGCCAATTGAGTGTGTCTGCTAGTATATCACAAAAGAGCAGTGAGGGACTGGGTCTGTTGAAAAATTCCTCTCTTCGAAAACCAAGTGAAGGATCCTGTGTGTTACTGCCCTGTTCTCTGCAAGAGGTGCCAAAGAGGTTCCCCTCTCTCAGGACCTCGTTATCTAACTCATCTCCCTGCCGTGTTCATATCTGACAGAATCATTGTCCAAGGGAATTTTAATTTTTGAAGTTTATGTGGGGTTTTCAACAGTTGTTTTGAGGTAATAGAGTGAGTTGTCTCAGGTCTTCACAACTGATGTCCTGTAAACACATGATACGAGAAGTTAAAGTGGTCAAACTGCATCTGAGATCTAAAATGACTAGTGGCTCTTTTTCAGTGCCATGAATAACACTCTGACCTTGTTTGGTACTTTCCACCCACACGTCTGAAGGTACTTTGCTAATGAATTTAGCATCCCAGTGCCTCTGGAAGGTAGGGAGGTGTTTAACCCTGTCTTACAGATGAGGCAGACACAGACT